AATATGTTTATATATATCAATATGTTATATATCAATATATCAATATGTTATATATCAATATGTTTATATATCAATATGTTTATATATCAATATGTTATATATCAATATGTTATATCAATATGTTTATATATCAATATGTTTATATATCAATATGTTATATATCAATATATCAATATGTTATAGATCAATATGTTATGGATCAATATGTTTATATATCAATATGTTTATATATCAATATATCAATATGTTATATATCAATATGTTTATATATCAATATGTTTATATATCAATATGTTATATATCAATATATCAATATGTTATAGATCAATATGTTATAGATCAATATGTTTATATATCAATATGTTTATATATCAATATATCAATATGTTATAGATCAATATGTTATAGATCAATATGTTTATATATCAATATGTTTATATATCAATATATCAATATGTTATATATCAATATGTTTATATATCAATATATCAATATGTTATAGATCAATATGTTATAGATCAATATGTTTATATATCAATATGTTTATATATCAATATATCAATATGTTATAGATCAATATGTTTATATATCAATATGTTTATATATCAATATATCAATATGTTATAGATCAATATGTTATAGATCAATATGTTTATATATCAATATGTTTATATATCAATATATCAATATGTTATAGATCAATATGTTATAGATCAATATGTTTATATATCAATATGTTTATATATCAATATGTTTATATATCAATATATCAATATGTTATAGATCAATATGTTATAGATCAATATGTTTATATATCAATATGTTTATATATCAACATATCAATATGTTATAGATCAATATGTTTATATATCAATATGTTTATATATCAATATATCAATATGTTATATATCAATATGTTTATATATCAATATATCAATATGTTATAGATCAATATGTTATAGATCAATATGTTTATATATCAATATATCAATATGTTATATATCAATATGTTTATATATCAATATATCAATATGTTATAGATCAATATGTTATAGATCAATATGTTTATATATCAATATGTTTATATATCAATATATCAATATGTTATAGATCAATATGTTATAGATCAATATGTTTATATATCAATATGTTTATATATCAATATGTTTATATATCAATATATCAATATGTTATAGATCAATATGTTATATATCAATATGTTATAGATCAATATGTTATAGATCAATATGTTTATATATCAATATATCAATATGTTTATATATCAATATGTTTATATATCAATATGTTTATATATCAATATGTTATAGATCAATATGTTATAGATCAATATGTTTATATATCAATATGTTTATAAATTTCTGAAGAACCAGCACCTTACCGTGGTAGAGAGGTTTGTGTGCCCTGATGAACCTGGGGGCTGTGTTGTCTGGAACCTTGTGTTCCTGGTAGGGTCTCCCAGGGCAAATTGGTCTCAGGCAAGGGGCCAGACTAAAATTGGTTCAAAAGACCTCATGAAAGACGACACAGGAAGTGAGGATACCCGGCCCGGAGGAAGCCCGGGGTCCCCTTCTGGAGCCAGGCCCAGAAGGAGGACTCGTCGGCGAGTGTCTGGAAAGGCAACGTGGGCAACACCTCCGCTTCTCCGTCCCGCGGGCCCACCACCTACGGGAAACAGCGATGGGGTCGGGTGCGCTGCCAGAAGGGTGGCAGTGAAAGCAGAGGGTCTCGACGGACCAGACCCGGGCGACAGAAGCTGGCTTTGGGGACGTGGAACCGCACCTCTCTGGGGGGGAAGGAGCCGGAGCTTGTGCGGGAGGTGGAGCGTTACCAGTTGGATCTGGTTGGGCTCACCTCTACGCACAGCGTCGCCTCTTGAACCTTACTTCTGGATAGGGGTTGGACTCTCTTCTTCTCCGGAGTTGCCCAAGGTATGAGGCGCCGGGTGGGTGTGGGGATACTCACAAGCCCCCGGTTGGGTGCTTCTTTGTTGGAGTTTACCCCAGTGGACGAGAGGGTCGCCTCCCTACGCCTGCGGGTTATGGGGGGGGAAACTCTGACTGTTGTGTGTGCTTATGCACCAAACAGCAGTTCAGAGTATACGGCCTTCTTGGAGACCCTGGAAAGAGTTCTGTATGGGGCTCCTGAAGGGGACTCCTTAATCTTGCTGGGAGACTTCAACGCACATGTGGGCAATGATGGAGACACTTGGAGGGGCGTGATTGGGAGGAACGGCCCCCCTGATCTGAACCGGAGTGGTGGTTTGTTACTGGACTTCTGTGCTAGTCATGGATTGGCCATAACAAACACCATGTTCGAACATAAGGATGCTCATAAGTGTACGTGGTACCAGAGCACCCTAGGCAGAAGGTCCATGATCGATTTCGTTATCGTATCATCGGACCTGAGGCCGTATGTTTTGGACACTCGGGTAAAGAGAGGGGCGGAGTTGTCAACTGATCACCATCTGGTGGTGAGTTGGGTCGAGTGGCGGGGGAAGCCTCTGGACAGACCAAACGTGTAGTGCGGGTGAACTGGGAACGTCTGGAGGAGGCCCAAGTTCAGGAGGCCTTCAACTCACACCTCCGGCTGAGCTTTTCGGGCATTCCTGTGGAGGTTAGGGACATTGAACCAGAGTGGGTGGTGTTCAAAGCCTCTATTGCCGAAGCCGCGGCGGGGAGCTGTGGTCTCAAGGTCTTAGGTGCCTCAAGGGGCGGTAACCCTCGAACCTCCTGGTGGACACCGGTGGTCAGGGAAGCCGTCCGACTGAAGAAGGAGGCCTTCAGGGATTTGTTATCCCGGGGGACTCTCGAGGCAGTTGCAAGGTACCGACAGGCCCGAAGGGCAGCAGCCTCAGCCGTGGCCGAGGCAAAGCAGCGGGTGTGGGAGAAGTTCGGAGAAGCCATGGAAAAGGACTTTCGGGCGGCATCAAAGTTGTTCTGGAAAACTGTCCGACACCTCAGGAGGGGGAAGCAGGGAACCATCCAAGCTGTGTACAGTAAGGATGGGACGCTGTTGACCTCAACTGATGGAGTGTTAGGGCGTTGGAAGGAACACTTTGAGGAACTCCTGAACCCGACAACTCCGCCCTCTATGGTAGAGGCAGAGCTGGAGTATGACGGGGGATCAACACCAATCTCCCGGGGGGAGGTCACTGAGGTCGTCAGACAACTCCACAGTGGCAAAGCCCCGGGGGTGGATGAGATCCGCCCAGAAATGCTGAAGACTCTGGGTGTTGAGGGACTGTCATGGTTGACACGTCTCATCAACGTTGCGTGGAAGACGGAAACAGTACCGAAGGAGTGGCAGACCGGGGTGGTGGTTCCCCTTTTCAAAAAGGGGGATCAGAGGGTGTGTGCCAATTACAGAGGCATCACACTACTCAGCCTTTCCGGGAAAGTTTACTCTAAGGTACTCGAAAGGAGGGTCAGGCCGATTGTCGAACCTCAGATTGAGGAGGAACAATGCGGATTCCGTCCTGGACGTGGGACAACGGATCAACTTTTTACTCTCCCAGGATCCTGAAGGGGGCCTGGGAGTATGCTTATCTGGTCTACATGTGTTTTGTAGACTTGGAGAAGGCGTATGACCGAGTTCCCAGGGAGTTACTGTGGGAGGTGCTGCAGGAGTATGGGGTGAGGGGGTCTCTACTCAGGGCCATCCAATCTCTGTACTCCCAAAGCGAGAGCTGTGTCCGGGTCCTCGGCAGTAAGTCGGACCCATTTCAGGTGAGGGTTGGCCTACGCCAGGGCTGCGCTTTGTCACCAATCCTGTTTGTAATATACATGGATAGGATTTTGAGGCGTAGTCATGGGGGAGGGGGTCTGCAGTTCGGTGGACTAAGGATTGCACCACTGCTTTTTGCAGATGATGTGGTTCTAATGGCTTCATCGGTCTGCGACCTTCAGCACTCACTGGATCGGTTCGCAACCGAGTGTGAAGCGGCTGGGATGAGGATCAGCACCTCCAAATCTGAGGCCATGGTTCTCAGCAGGAAACCGATGGACTGTCCACTCCAAGTAGGGAATGAGTCCTTACCCCAAGTGAAGGAGTTCAAGTATCTCGGGGTCTTGTTCTCGAGTGAAGGAACAAGGGAGCGTGAGATGGGCCGGAGAATCGGAGCAGAGGGAGCGGTACTGCAGTCGCTTTACCGCACCGTTGTGACGAAAAGAGAGCTGAGCCAGAAGGCAAAGCACTCTGTCTACCGGGCCATCTTCGTTCCTACCCTCACCTATGGTCATGAAGGATGGGTCATGACCCAAAGAACGAGATTGCGGATACAAGCGGCCGAGATGGGTTTTCTCCGCAGGGTGGCTGGCGTCTCCCTTAGGGATAAGGTGAGAAGTTCAGTCATCCGGGAGGGACTCGGAGTTGAACCGCTCCTCCTTCGCGTCAAAAGGAGCCAGTTGAGGTGGTTTGGGCACCTAGTAAGGATGCCACCTGGGCGCCTCCCTAGGGAGGTGTTCCAGGCACGTCCAGCAGGGAGGAGACCGAGGGGTAGACCTAGGACCAGGTGGAGGGATTATATCTCTTTGCTGGCCTGGGAGCGCCTTGGGACCCCCCAGTCAGAGCTGGTTGATGAGGGGAAAGGAACGTTTGGGGCTCTCTGCTGGAACTGATACCTCCGTGACCCGACCACGGAGAAGAGGGAGAAGATGGATGGATGTTTATATATCAATATGTTTATATATCAATATGTTTATATATCAATATGTTTATATATCGTACAGTTCAGAAGGCGTTTAAATACCTTGATCTGTCATTAGCTGTCATGATGTCATGTGACTAATAACCATGCACTAAGGAGAAGAAACAATGTGAAGTAATGTTACGTAACGTAGCGTTAAGTAACGTAAAGTAACAACATGCAACCTAATATAAAGTAACGTAAAGTTATGTAAAATAACGTAACATAATGTTACCTAACCGCAAGTTTTGTAAGATACAATTACGTAATATATGTATATAATGTGTATTTGTACACAGATGATGCTGAACTCTCTCCATAAGTACGAGCCTCAGCTCCACATCGTGTGCGTCGGCTCTCTTCATCGTCTCGTCTCCAATGTTTCCTTCAGAGAGACGCAGTTCATCGCCGTCACCGCCTACCAGAACGAGGAGGTACTAGTACACACACTAATGTACTAAAACTTTAACTATACACAGGTTATATTCATTATGTGTGTGTGTGTGTGTGTGTGTGTGTGTGTGTGTGTGTGCAGATCACGGCTCTGAAGATCAAATATAACCCGTTCGCTAAAGCTTTCCTCGACGCCAAAGAGAGGTGAGTGTGTCGCACGCTAGTGTGAGGTTCCTTTTTATATACCAGCAACTCATTTCCACCGTCAAAGAATAGAGGACCACAGGACAGATTTTAGGTAATTTATTATACTCGGGGTGAGAGAGAGAGAGAGCCCTCAGTGGCGCAGACACTCAACAGCAAGAACACCACACCGGGTGACTTCCCTTTACTTTGCTGTTTTCAAGCGTTGTATGTGATCTCCCCCGGTCCGATTGCTCCCAGCGTCTCTGCCGTCTTTCCTCTGCTCTGCTTCCTGGTTTCCGCTTTCCTTTCTCGTCCTTCGTTTCTCCGTTCCTCCGTTTTCTCGTTCGTCCTTCTCCTTGCACCTCTTCCTGTCTGTTTTCCTCTCCTGCTCAGCTGTGTCTGATTGCTTAAAAGCAAAATACCGTTCACTATCGGCCAATGATGCGCCATGGGGGGTTTGTCCAGTCAGACGCAGCCGGTTTCAATAATGCCAATAAATGTCAATCCCAAGAAATAAACAAGCTTCACAGGTAAAATCATGCAATAATCACTCCATTAAAAAGCACACAAGTAAAAAACCATGCAATGATATTAAAACTGTTGTTGCCTGCTTACAAGCAGAAACTTAAAGGGACAGACCGATAACAAGGACAGTACAACGATGGAGCGAGGAGTCAGATTCAGCACTGCAGGATTGCTTTGCATCTACGGATTGGAGTGTGTTTTGAGGACAATAACATCAACACACACACGGACACTGTCATCTGCTACATTGGGAAATGCATCGATGACGTGGTACCGAAGGTTTCTGTACGGACATTCCCAAATCAAAAGCCCTGGGTAAACGGTGAGGTGCGCGGCAAACTGAAAGCGCGCACTCTCGCGCACACAGCGGGAGATTTGGAGGAGTACAGGAAGTCTAGGTATGATCTCCGGAGAGCAATAAAAAATGCAAAGAGACAGTACAAAGAGAAGGTGGAATCTGACTTCAAAGGCTGTAACACTAGGAATATGTGGGCGGGACTAAGGACAATGACTGACTACAAAGGAGCAGCGGGGGGTGCTGCGGGAGTGTCTGCGTGCGCATCTCTCCCAGATGAGCTAAACAGTTTTTTTGCACGCTTTGAGAGCAGCCAGGCTGTGGAGGTACAGAGGGACCAGGAGCTACACTGCCCTTTTGTTTTAAATAGGGCAGATGTGTGTAAATCCTTTAAAAGGGTTAACCCACACAAGGCTCCTGGACCTGATGGCATCCCTGGCCGTGTTCTCAGGGTGTGTGCAGTTCAGCTGGCAGAGGTGTTCACAGACATCTTCAACAGGTCCCTGCTGCAGTCTGTAGTCCCCACATGTTTTAAACACTCCACCATCGTTCCTGTCCCCAAAAAGACAATCATCACCTGCCCCAACGACTACCGCCCAGTAGCACTCACCTCCATCATAATGAAGTGCTTTGAGCGGTTAGTCAAATTATTCATCACCTCCTCCCTCCCTGAATCTCTGGACCCCCTGCAGTTTGCCTACAGAGCAAACAGGTCCACAGACGACGCCATAGCCCTCACCCTCCACACTGCCCTCTCACACCTGGACCCGAAGAACAGGAACACATATGTGAGAATGCTGTTCATTGACTACAGTTCAGCATTCAACACCATTGTGCCCTCCAAGCTGGCCATCAAGCTCAGAGACCTCGGACTCAACAGCGCCCTCTGTGACTGGATCCTGAACTTCCTGACGGGCAGACCCCAGGCAGTGCGGGTGGGAAACATCACATCCTCCACCCTGATTCTCAACACCGGTGCCCCTCAAGGCTGCGTGCTCAGCCCTCTCCTCTACTCCCTGTTCACCCACGACTGCGTGGCCACACACAGCTCCAACACCATCGTGAAGTTTGCTGATGACACGACCGTCATCGGCCAGATCACAGACGATGACGAGACGGCATACAGAGAGGAGGTCGAAAACCTGACATCTTGGTGCCAGGAGAACAACCTCCATCTCAACATCAGCAAAACAAAGGAGCTGATTGTGGACTACAGGAAGCAGCAGGGAGAGGGACACGCCCCCATCGCCATCAATGGGACTACGGTGGAGAGAGTCAAAAGCTTCAGGTTCCTTGGGGTCCACATCACTGAGGACCTGACATGGTCTCTTCACACCACCACCATCACCAAGAAAGCTCGACAGCGGCTCTTCTTCCTCCGCAGGCTGAGGAGGTTCAAAATGGATTCCAGGATACTCTGCAACTTCTACAGGTGCACGATAGAGAGTATCCTCACTGGCAGCATGACGGCCTGGTACGGCAGCTGCACCGACCTCGATCGTAAGGCTTTACAGAGGGTGGTGAAAACTGCACAGCACATCACCAGGACGGAGCTGCCATCCATGGAGGACCTTTACTCCCAGCGGCTCAGGAAGAAATCACTACGGATTATCAAAGACCCCCATCACCCCAGCCACAAACTGTTCTTTCTGTTGCCGTCTGGCAGACGTTACCGCAGCATCCTGGCAAGGACAAGAAGATTCGGAGACAGTTTCTTCCCGCGGGCAGTGAGACTGTTAAACAATTGAACTGTTGAAACAACATCAAACATTCATCTGCTACTCAGTAGTATGTATCTAATACCTAATATATATATATCATTCCAATAACTTGTATATAGACTCATACTGCACTATTCCACATCATAACTTTATTTCATTTTTATAACTATTATTATTTTTGTATTGCTCTTGCTCTTATTGTTATTATGTTATTATGTTGCATTGTTGGAGAAGCCTGTGACATAAGATTTTCAACTGCATAATTACTCTGTAGCTATGTCAGATTGACAATAAAGAACCTTGAACCTTGAACCTTGAAACCAAACTTGAATAAATAATTAAAACATGCACATTTTGGGATTTCAGGCCACAGCCACTCCGACAAGTGCTACTAACACAGTTTTAAATGTATTTATATTTCAGAAAGTCCTGGTGTTATTGTGACGGCGTTTGTTTTCTCCACCTCAGGAACCCGGGGGGGCGGGGCTTAATGGAGACCCCGGAGAGTCTGGTTGGGATCCAGCCCTGTCAGTCAAACACCTTCATCACTCACACACAATACGCCTCCTTTATACACTAAATATATACTGTAATACTAATGTGTGTGTGTTTGTGTGTCAGGCTGGTCTCTGTGCCCCCCTGCAGGAGGCGGAGCTTTCCCTTACGTGACATCACACCATCACCACGGTTACAAACACCACGGTTACCCCGGGAGACACACACCTTACCCGCCCGCCTACCTGCAGCACCGCACACACTCCTCAGGTACACCTGTGTGTGTGTGTGTGTGTGTGTGCGCGTGTGTGTGTGTGTGTGCGTGTGTGTGTGTGTGTGTATGTGTGTATATTAATATGATGTGTGTGTGTATTAATATGATGATGTAATGTTATACCTGTGTGTCAGTGTGTTTGTCTGAAGGTGTTCAGGTGTTATCAGACGGATGGAGTAGCCCCGCCCCTCGTCCCTCCTCCACTTCCTGTCCCTCCTCCTCACAGCCCCCCCCCTCACGGCTCCAGGTGAGGCACTGTATTCATTATATTAATTAATAAATCATGAATTAATATGTAATAATAACTGTGTTTGTGTTCAGTCAGTTTCCCTGTCTGTGGGCGGTCGGATGCAATGAGCTAAGCCCCGCCCACTCTCCCTGCACCAATCTACACGGACCAATCAGCAGCGAGAGCCTCATGCAGCCGCCCAATCACACCCGAGTGGGCGGGGCCACCTGGCCTGTTGGTCCCGCCCACACCTTCTGAGGAGGCGTGTGATTGGTTGAATGGACGTGAAGCCTTCTTACTTCTTCTTTAAGTACAAAAAAAACTGCCATATAATATATATTAATATTATTTTCCACCTTTACTCAATTACATTTTTCACAACTATCATATACACATTATTTTTTAGAATTTTAACAATTTAAATGTTGTTTTAAAAGACAAAAAAATTCCTTTATATTCAATTAAATGTATTATTTTCTCCACAGTGTGATATGTGAATGATGCATGTGTATTTATATATATTATCATTCCCCACAGTATCTGAGTATTATTAAATACATGTAAATATTACAGTTTTATTCACCAGGTAATGTTCACAGACAGATTGTTGGTGTAGTAGCGCCCCCTGGTGGTTCACAGTGCAGATAGGTTGTTGGTGTAGTGGCGCCCCCTGGTGGTTCACAGTGCAGACAGGTTGTTGGTGTAGTGGCGCCCCCTGGTGGTTCACAGTGCAGACATATTGTTCGTGTAGTGGCGCCCCCTGGTGGTTCACAGTGCAGATAGGTTGTTGGTGTAGTGGCGCCCCCTGGTGGTTCACAGTGCAGACAGGTTGTTGGTGTAGTGGCGCCCCCTGGTGGATCACAGTACAAACAGGTTGTTGGTGTAGTGGCGCCCCCTGGTGGTTCACAGTACAAACAGGTTGTTGGTGCAGTGGCGCCCCCTGGTGGTTCACAGTACAAACAGGTTGTTGGTGTAGTGGCGCCCCCTGGTGGTTCACAGTGCAGACAGGTTGTTGGTGTAGTGGCGCCTCCTGGTGGTTCACAGTGCAGACAGGTTGTTCGTGTAGTGGCGCCCCCTGGTGGTTCACAGTGCAGACAGGTTGTTGGTGTAGTGGCGCCCCCTGGTGGATCACAGTACAAACAGGTTGTTGGTGTAGTGGCGCCCCCTGGTGGTTCACAGTGCAGACAGGTTGTTGGTGTAGTGGCGCCCCCTGGTGGATCACAGTACAAACAGGTTGTTGGTGTAGTGGCGCCCCCCCTGGTGGTTCACAGTACAGACAGGTTGTTGGTGTAGTGGCGCCCCCTGGTGGTTCACAGTGCAGACAGGTTGTTGGTGTAGTGGCGCCCCCTGGTGGTTCACAGTGCAGACAGGTTGTTGGTGTAGTGGCGCCCCCTGGTGGTTCACAGTACAGACAGGTTGTTGGTGTAGTGGCGCCCCCTGGTGGTTCACAGTACAGACAGGTGTTTCTCAGCGGCTGCATGTCTGTTCCTCTACTTTACACATATAAATATAACTAAATATACTACAGGTTATTATGAGATGTTTCTGATGTTATGTTTCTTTACAGCCAGTACCTTCATGGGTCAAATCAATGGGATAATAAGTAAAAAATGTGCCTTTTAAATCAAAATGATAAGTATTTTAATGTAAGAGAGATGTCATGGTGTGTATCTTGTGTATTTGTCAACACGTGTTGTGTTTGTTTTGTGACTAAATGATTAAATAAAGGAAGAAATTAAAACGTATTCAATGTTTTATGTCTTTTTTAAGAAACTAAATTATATGCAAAGACATTAAAATGTAATGTAACACATATTATGTCCATTTCTGTTGTTTAAATGTAATAATTACTTACGTTATTTACGTTTTTAACCATTTGATACACAACATGGGTCAAAAGTGACCCGAGTGAGTTTTAATTGTAAATATCTTTGCAACGAAATACTTTAACAATTCAAAATTGCAGGTATTCCTCAATGAACTTGTTTATGATCATCACGGATGGAGTGGTGTAAAGCACGCGGCCACTGGACTCTGGAGCAGTGGAAACGTGTTCTGTGGAGTGACCAATCACACTTCTCTATCTGGAAGTTTGATAGACAAGTCTGGGTTTGGCGAATGCCAGGAGAACGTTACCTGCCTGACTGCATTGTGCGAACTGTAACGTTTGGTGGAGGAGGGATAATGCTATGGGAAGTTTTTCTGGGGTTGGCCTAGGCCACTCAAGTGAAGGGGATTCTTAACACTTCATCTTACCAAGTCATTTTGGACAGTTCTAGGCTTCGAACATTGTGGAAACAGTTTGGGGAAGGTCCTGATGAGACCTGATAGACCTGATGAGACCTGATGAGACCTGATGAGACCTGATGAGACCTGATGAGACCTGGTAGACCTGATGAGACCTGAAGAGACCTGATGAGACCTGATAGACCTGATGAGACCTGATGAGACCTGATGAGACCTGATAGACCTGATAGACCTGATGAGACCTGATAGACCTGATGAGACCTGATGAGACCTGAAGAGACCTGATAGATCTGATGAGACCTGATAGACCTGATGAGACCTGATAGACCTGAAGAGACCTGATGAGACCTGATGAGACCTGATGAGACCTGATGAGACCTGATAGACCTGATGAGACCTGAAGAGACCTGATGAGACCTGATAGACCTGATGAGACCTGATGAGACCTGATAGACCTGATAGACCTGATGAGACCTGATAGACCTGATGAGACCTGAAGAGACCTGATAGATCTGATGAGACTTGATAGACCTGATGAGACCTGATAGACCTGAAGAGACCTGATGAGACCTGATAGACCTGATGAGACCTGATAGACCTGAAGAGACCTGATGAGACCTGATAGACCTGATAGACCTGATAGACCTGATAGACCTGAAGAGACCTGATGAGACCTGATAGACCTGATAGACCTGATGAGACCTGATAGACCTGATAGACCTGATGAGACCTGATAGACCTGATAGACCTGATAGACCTGATAGACCTGATGAGACCTGATAGACCTGATAGACCTGATGAGACCTGATAGACCTGATAGACCTGATAGACCTGATGAGACCTGATAGATCTGATGAGACCTGATGAGACCTGATAGACCTGATAGACCTGATAGACCTGATGAGACCTGATGAGACCTGATAGACCTGATAGACCTGATGAGACCTGATAGACCTGATGAGACCTGATAGACCTGATAGACCTGATAGACCTGATGAGACCTGATAGACCTGATAGACCTGATGAGACCTGATAGACCTGATAGACCTGATAGACCTGATAGACCTGATGAGACCTGATAGACCTGATAGACCTGATGAGACCTGATAGACCTGATAGACCTGATAGACCTGATGAGACCTGATAGATCTGATGAGACCTGATGAGACCTGATAGACCTGATAGACCTGATAGACCTGATGAGACCTGATGAGACGGGGAGCGGAACAGTTTTTCGACCGCAAATTGTAAACAGAAATTAGTGTTGCAAATTGGACTGCAAAGTATAATTTATATAAGAAAGCGTATCGCAGAAATATTGATTTAGATTTGTTATTTCCCAAAATAAGATATTAAATGATTAAATAAATTGATTTCCAAAGATATAGCTAAGAAACACTTTAGAAATAACATTGTAGATCAATACGGGT